TTAATGTGTTCTTAAGGGACTTTAATGGAAATTCACCAGACTCACGCTTAATGAATTTCCAAAAGAAAGGCGGATTACTTAAAGAAAGAAAAGGATAGCCAGGTTTAAGATTTTACTTACTTTTATTTTATCAATTTAGTTATTATTAAAGTTGCGTTCTCTCTCTGCTCTTTGGCCTCTTTCTCTCTCTATATGCTCTGAATATACTTGGGTGATTTTTCTTCTTTGATGCTTCCTCCGGGATTCACTCACTGGTAAAAACTTCTTATTAGGGACTTCCTGGTGCTCAGTCCGCACTTACTCTATCTGAACTTAACTTCCACTCACTTCCTCTGACTTAACTTACTCTCCAGCCTTGTACAGAGCTTTTTATAAGCCGTGGGTGGTTGGGTGGAAATCCCTTTCCTCAGGCCCATGAAGCGATAACGGCTAAATTTTGTATTGGTCGGAAATTTTCTAATCATATCCAGAATTTCTTTATTGGTCTGTGGGCGTGAATTTTCAGAGAGAGAAAGGGCGGTCCCTTTTTAACTTGGGCCCTTTTCTTCAGAGATGGCTCTCGGAGTGCCACTTTTAAGAGCAAGAGTAACGCTATAGCTTATAATTACTTATACATAATTGTACTAAACTTAATTAATTATGACGATACATAGTGACTATTATGAACATTCAGAAAAATTCAAACCTTTTACGATTTATTATAAAATACATTATTGTTCTATTTATTGGTTATTCGGTGACAAAAAGGTGCGCATTATAATGGCTTACAAAATTGATGAAAATCTATTTAATATTACGGATATTTTCTTAAAAATCGGTGGGAAAAAAAAAGATAGATTGCATTTTTATGGTCCCCTTCCATTATCAGCGTGATAACACTTCACGATGTATACGCGATGATCGTAGGCCCCTGTCAACACATACGTGTGGGACAAAGCAGGATAGAGCGTTGATTGTAAGCTTGAGTACGCAGGCTCGGGCCACTATCAAAGTTTATATTTCGAATGCGTTTTCATCGTGGGAAATCAGGAAGGTTCCCACTCCGTTCGTCATATTTAATAATTAAATGTAAAAAAAAACTAAGTTACGGCTAGCCGTCACATAAAAAAGCTTGAGCACCGCTATAACAAATGTACAGATTAAAAAGAGACTATGTTGAAAAATAAATTGGAATCATTTAAATAAATAGTATTTTTTATTTCAAGGCACAGACTTATTGAACGATCCTCGTATTTTGTTTAAATGTTACATCAATTTAATTTTATTTAATTATAAAATACAAATCAAGAATTCATCTATTCTTTTCTTATTTTAAAATTTTGTAAGATTATTATTTATTACAAGTTTGAAGCAAATCAGTAAGATTTTGATGTGTGTAGAGAGATCTCGATCAAAAATTATTATCTGAATTTTCGATTGCTGATGTTAGAATATAAAAAATAATTATCTACATAGAAATCTCTAATAAGAAAAATATAAAATCGCAAACTTAACCTGTAAATAAACTTGACCTTGAACGTGACCTCAAAGTTCAAAGGCAAAGTCATAGGGATTGTTCCCTTCAAAGTTGAACAACAAAGTTGGTCTACAACATTTTTCAACTGTTACCTCTTCTAAGCATGGAATTGTCGCTTTTCGAATCCGAGATGGAAAATAGGGGTTCCTATTTAAAGAAATAAAGTTGGCCTTGAAATGAACTTTGACATGATCTTCAAGGTGAAAGGCAAGGTCACAGGAATATGTCTTCCTCAAAATTAAGTAGTTTTCATCTGAACCGATTTTCGGTGACTTCCATAGTTTCCGAAAAAACTCACATGATCGGTTAAAATGGCCCACCCTGTATAGGGTCATATTACCTAATAAGTTATTCACTAAGATTATTACTCAGCTTATGTTGTACGTTTTCTCATCGTATCGAAGAGGAGGCATTCGATTAGAAAGTAATAACAGTAAACGGGATCTTACAATTACCACAAATGGATTTTTCTTCTTTATTCGATAGGTGTTGGTCTGTTTTGTTTTTGTATGACAATGCGTACTCTTTATAAGGCACTTAATTTTGCCTCTTCAAAAATGTTGACGGATTTCTATAAAAGACGTTTATTTTTAATATTTTGTAAATTGTTCTTAGGTGGATATTTTTTTCAATCAGAATTATATTTTTCTTTAATTTTCAAATCGATTAAATAAAAATAATCCTCTTGGGACAGGTGAAGGTTTCTTGAAGAAAAATTAAGGAGCGTAGCTGACTCAGCTGTGCCCATTAGTTCACTTAAATTATTTTGTGAAAACTGTGTGAGTGAAAATTAAATGATACTATTGAAGTTTTTTATATTTTGAATTATTTTCATGAAGTTTTCTCTTTTTATACAGTTTTTTTTAATTTAAACACCTTCGCTAGTAGATATGCAATTAATGCTATTCTTATTATAACAAGTGAAATTTTTTATAGTGATTGATTAGCGGTTTTTTAAGTTAGTCTCTTGCAAATAAACTATATCAATTGCTTATTGTGCTGTAATTTGAAATAAAAGTTCGTATGGCTTTTTTATATTATTTATATTCTTTTGTACCAATTTCGCCGTTTCATTCACAGTTGGAGTTAATGGGAGAAACGTCTGGGGATGGGGAGACAGTGGTTGCAATTAATTTATTAATTAGACGAGTCCATCTGCTTTTTATACTACTGTTACATACCCTAGGGTATAAATCTTCCTGTATTCATTTAATTAATTTCTAGTAGGTTTTAAAAGTGAGTGTAATTTAGTAAAGTGTTTCTATTCTTTGAATAGCATTTTATTTACAGCTGATCGTATCTTTTTTGCTATTTTCGGCGCAGATTCATCTGACCTAGTCTACATTTTCGATTGATTCTTTGTTTTTGGCGTATAATAGTATCCACGTATCATCAACAGTAATGTAGCGTCGCAAAAACTTCTTTAGATTACGTTGAAACATGCTCAAAAATTGCTCAGACACAACCACACAAAAGCTCTAATATAAGTAATCATACTGACTATCTTTTTGTTAGACATATAAGTGTACAATCTATTTTTGAGATTCTTGATGCACTAATAATATTTTTTGATTTTAATAATTCCCCATTGCACATGCATAATCAATTTAAATCTTTCATAACAATCTATTATTAGGCCTTGATCTCTTTCAACTAGATCCTTTTACGTAATAGCTACATAGTTAGATATTGGTGGGATGATTGCAGTAAATGTAGAAATATCTCGATTTTGTTGGGCAGTGGAAATACCATTCTGCTCTCGCATAATTCACTCGTACCCGCTCTACATCAATTTTACAGGAATGAGGTTCTGGAATGTGCTATATTGTTGTTATATATATATAACAAACGCGTTTGGAGCTACACGCAAACACGTCTGTTCTCATCAAAATTCAGACTAGAGTTCTTTGCTTATTGGTTATTATATTACTTAATAAAACTTGTAAAACGCCTAGAGTTATCAATTAGCGCCGATTTGCTGTTAATATGTTAAACGTTGTACTTAATTATACTATAATACGTACGAACATGATGTCATATATATTACATGATGATCATATTGTATTGTATTTATTTTGTATATACATCATTTTTTTTTTTTGCATAAATAGAAAAATACTCTAACGGCAAACTAATGTATGTATCTAATATCTCTTCGTTGGATGAAAATCTTTTACTCACAAGCCCAATTTTCATGTCAAGAAACAAAAAATACTCAGAAGGGGCCAAGAATAAGGTGGATGAGGAAGTATTTCGTAGCGTAAATCAAATAATTTGACCGTTGCAATGGAACTCTTTTGAGCTGGTGCATTGTCGTGGTGGAAAAGTACTTTTTTTTCGCGAGATGGGGCCGCTTTTCCTTCAGTATGGCCTCAACTCGGTCTAATAATGAGGCACAATATTCTCCTGTAATAGTTTTACTCTGTAGGTGATCGATTAATACTATACCACTTGAGTTCCAAACAATTGTAGCCATAGCACTTCCGGCTGGTTGTACCTTCTTAGCTATTTCCGATGCAAATTCACCGAACCCAGTCCATATTTTCGACGGATTTTTCATTTCTGACGTATAAGAATGAATCCATATTTCATCAACAATAACATATCGTCGCAAAAACTTTTTTGGATTACGTTGAAACATGCTCAAACATTGCTTAAACTCAACCGCACAAGCTTGCTTGTAATCAGCTGTGAACAAGCGCAGCACCTATCTTGAAGACAAGTTTCTCATGCGTAAACATTGATGTAAAATGTTCCATGTGCATCCTACTGAAATGTTAAGAGTCTCACTAATCTCACGCACTTTCAATCAACGATCAGCGAGTACAGTATCATAAACTTTATGGATCATGTCTTGAGTAGTCATCTCTTTTGGATTTTTTTGTATTGATTTTCCCCGTAGGAAATATTATTTAATAAGCACACAAAACTCATTTTTTCCATGATTCTGTTTACACAATGAAAAACTAAATTTAAATGACTAAAAAATTTCCAAAGTAATGTATTGACTTGAAACTTTATATACACACTTGTACTAGATGGGACTTTCTTACAGTTTAAAGTACGTTACGATAACATCACCATCTTCCAAGAAGTTACGGACTTTTTGAACGACCCTCATACTTTGATTAATTTACTTTGTCTATTTTGTTTACTGTAGAATAGCGTTCAATTGATATTTTTCACTAAAGAAGTTTAATAATTAAACCTCCTAATTAATTATAAGATTAGGTATGCAGATATAAATTATGTTTGAGTCTAAAAATTAGTCACATAACTAGGGCAGATTGCTTACCTTTTAAAAATCTAAAATTCGTTCGATTTGAACCGAATTGAACTGACAGGTAAATGGAAAAATGTCCAATGTTAATTAGGAAGATAGTCTGATATATTGGTTGTAGCTTCTAAGTGTAAAAAAATAGCAAGAGACGCAATGCATAAAAGCAGTATAAACAGTCGGGCGGACGTATGTTTTGTATTGCAGGCGGCTTGGACGGCCAAGAGAAGATGGGGCCGAGCATCGGAACGCGACTGTGCTGGCTACTGGTCGCGGTGAGCGCTATATGGCTGCAGGCCTGTGCGGGTCAGGTGGACTGGAAATGCATGCCAGCTTGCAAGTGCTTCTGGGTGTCCGGCAAAAAGACGGCCAAATGCTTGCGGGTCAACCTGACGGACGAGCTGTCACCGGAGCTCCAGCAGCTGGACTTGACCGGTAGCGAGGTGACCGAGCTGGGCGATAGCGCGTTTACGCGCATCCACCTGGATAACCTGCAGAAGCTGGTGATGCGCGATTGTCAGCTGCGCGTCTTGAACGCCGGAGCGTTCAACGGGCTGCACATCATCATCGAGATCGACCTGTCGCACAACAAGCTAAGTCAGCTGCATCGCGGCAGCTTCGACCAGACCGAGCGCCTGCGCGTGCTATTGCTCAATCACAACCAGCTGCAGCAGCTCGAGGACGGCCTCTTCCACGACCTGCTCTTCCTGCAAAAGGTCAAGCTGAGCGACAACCATCTGGTACAGGTGGGCCAGCGCAGCTTCCACAACTTGCCGGGCCTGACCAGCCTGGAGCTCGACGGCAACAACCTGACGCACCTCGAGGTTGCCAGCTTCGAGGGCCTACCCAAGCTCGGCGGCCTTGAGCTGCGCAAGAATCCCTGGCACTGCGACTGTCAGCTGCGCGCCTTCCGCGACTGGGCGCTGCAGCGCAAGCTGTACACGCGGCCGACCGCCTGTGCGCTGCCGCCGCGGCTGCAGGGTCGCGCCTGGGATGAGCTGCTGCCCGAGGAGCTGGCCTGCCTGGGACGCGTGGACGCGCTGGGCGCGCGCGCACTGTCCGATGCATCGTTGCTGCTCTACTGCCGTGCGGAGGGCAGCCCACGGCCGCGCATCGCTTGGGTATACCGCCAGCGCCTGCTGGGCAACTCGACCAAGCGCCCGGCCTCGGAGCGCGGCTACCGGCTGCGCCAGCAGCAGGGCTGGGCCAACCTGACAATTCCCGAGCCCGGGCCCGCCGACCGCGGCGAGTACATCTGCGTGGCCAGTAACTCCGCCGGCAGCGTGGAGCGCAACCTCAGCCTGCCACTGGGCCTGGCGCCGGGCGAAGAGGCCGGCACTCGGTCGGGCGGCGACACGCTGCTCGACCTGCGGCTCGCCTTGGGCCTCGGCCTCGTGGCCTTCGTCTTCCTGCTGCTGGCCATCACGCTCTGTCTGTGCTACTGCCGGCGGCGACGACCGCGCGGCGACGAGAAAGGCCAGGAGGCCGCTTCGCTCGACCAGCACGGCCTCGGCGAGCAGGAAAAATCTCTCATCACGGCTATCAACCCCGTTGTTAAGCCACCGCGTAGGTACGACGCGCCCTCCGTCACCTCCCATGGCACCGAGATGACCGAGCTCAACAGGACGCTCCTTGACAATGACTCCGTCTTTGGTGAGTGCCTTTCGTTCTCTTCCTCTTCCCCCACGCCAGGACTATTCGACACTGACCCTTTGAATTCACCCTTACATACCGTTTTTATTCAATTTTCTGTAAAATACAGCGGAAAGCCTGGGCGCGAAACAATTTAGAAACAAGTTTAGAGAGAATTCAGAATAATTTTTGCGATCCAACTTATAGCCCGTAAAATCATGGAAGTACGAATATATTTAGAATGACTGTGTTTGCCGTAAATACGATGAAAGGAAGTAGTTAAAGTAAAGCTTTGGTCAGACAAACGTTAATGATTGATAAATTACAGCTGACGGCGTGGGCAGTGTGGTCGGAGTGCTGGCGAACGGGCTCCACGAGGAGGAGCTGCGAGGTCGAGCGAGCCCCGAGCTGGAGGCAATGATGTGCGGCTCGAACGGTTTAGCAGCGAGTTGCGGTCAGCACGGCGGCAGCATAATCAGCGGTATCGGCACACTCTCGCGCAACACCACACCGTACCGCCAGTACCCGCCGGATTTGCTGGCCTTCTCGGCTGGGCGCAATTGTTCGCCGACCTCGCAGGCCTCTACCGCCCCGGACAACTCGCGCCTCCAGCAGCAACCATCCTCGCCGGTTCCGGTGGGCATCGTGGCCGCTTACACGCAGATTGGCTTCAAGACGCTGCCCCATCCGGTGCGCTCGAGTTCGGCAACACCCTACAGCCTTGGCCATAACTACCCGTCGATGCCGAGACACGCGGCCTACGGAACGATACCTCGCAGACCCAGGGCACCTAGTTGGAGCAGCGTTCCACCCATCTCGCCGACTGAGCGAGGTCAGAATCTCAGTACCGACTTCTTTTCTCCCCTCCTTATGTCCTCCTTCGATTTCATTCAGTGCCAACAAACGACGATATTTAGTGCATGCTCTCTGCCTTACTTATTTACTCTCGTTCACGCTACTCTCCGTCATCCAACCCTTATTACAACTTTACACGAGATCATCCATATGTTATCTTCGTTTCGCTTTGTTTTTTCTTCCAATTTATACTGTCAACTAATGTCAAATTTTAATTCTCATTCTCTTTTTATAATCAAATTCTCAGTCATTGACTTATGATTGATTCCTAATGATACTTTCAGTCACGTCTAATAATGAAGCCGTCTGCTTTTTTCAAAATAAAACTGATTACTTAATGTAAGGCCGACAATTTTAATGGATGGACATTGAAATTTTAAACATTCGTACGTGAACTATTTCTGCTTAACCATAATGCTTTATAAAAATTTGATTTATAATTCGATTCTTGCAGACTGTACGCCATTCAAACTTAGCCGAGATTGAAATTATGAACATTAAACTCATCTCCGAGAAGAAAAGATAGAGAATCTTTTTATTTTTCAACAATCTTAACTTTGCGTCAACACTAAAGAATTGGAAAACTTGTTAGGTCTAAAGGATGTGCCTCGTTGTTGATTGAAGTTCATTCTAATGAAAATTCAAAATAAATATTGCATGCTTCTTTATATTTTAAAGATTAATATATTGGGTAATAACGTAATGTTCTACCAAAATTAATAATGACATTGAAATTCATCTATAACCGATCATAAGAAGATACGAAGTATTAAATGTACGTCATTTTTAAAAATTTTTTTTTAAACATTTTTGATAATGATAACATTTTGATAATTTTATGTTACATGCCTGACTTAACCGATCTTCTTCTACTCGTGTTCCGATTCTTGGGCTTACACTTGGACAGTTTTAAGTGCAGTATAAATAAAACTTTTTAAGCTACATTTCATCTTTCACAGATGATCCCCGAATAGACAAATAATAAGGTTAATGTACAATGGTAGTTTGTTTTGTTTAGTTTGTAAATGTTTTGTCATTAAATCCACTAAACAAATTTCAACACAAGGTTCTCAAGCTCACTTTGCATACACATATTTTTCACGTTATTATCAAGACCAAATATATATGATTAACTTGTACTATTTTATTTTGCTACTTATATTGAACAGGGTAATATTTCATGATAATCTGCAATCAAACTGTTAATCTTGATTTAGTGTGATCTTACATATACATATATATGTATATATTTATTTTATATATACATATATATGGGTAAATCCACGTCAAACGGACGATGGCTCTGTCTAAAATTGTAGATTACCAAACAAATCGTGGATGGGCTCAAAATTTTCGCCTTATACTCTACTTTCTTCTGTAATGCGGTGACTTTGAAAAGTCCAAAATGGCGGCTCCAATATGGCGGCTCAAACATAGAGATTTTATAAATAATTATTACAAATCGATTGTAAATCATTCGATTGTGATTCTACGTATTTTTTTATGTCTGAAATGAATTTAGCGTTCAATTTTACATAGGAATATAGTATTGCACTCAATTATCCCTTCTCTGCCATACTTTGCTGCTAAATGTAAAGGAGTCTTGCCATTTGCGTTTAGTACATTAATACTATCATCATTATAAATGTGCAAGTTAAACATATGTTTTATCGAAAAGGTAAAAATATTTTACAATATCATCTGAAGGTACAATCGAGAAACAATAGTTATTTCTTAAATTACTCATTGATCAATGTTGATTTGTGAGGAAATGAAGATACACATAGGTCTTTCGAGTCATTCAATTCAAGTATGATATCTGTTTAATTCTACCAGATCTCAATCAAGGTCATGTTGGATTCGGATTCAGCGACACATAAAACTTGTGGGTGTCCTAATCTTATCAAAAAATAAAAAATATTCGCAATTTTACCTTTAAATGACCTTGATCGAGATCCAGTAGGATCAAATGGACATTATATTTGAATTTAGAGATTCTAAATACCTATGAGTATCTTAATTTCTTCACTAATCAACAGTGATCAAGTAATAGTAATAGTAATTCAAGAAATAATTTTTGTTTCCCGATCAGACATTGAAAAATATATTCCTATGTAAAATTGAACGCTGCATTCATTTATGGCATACAAAAATACCTAGAATCATAATTGAATGATTTACAATCGATTTTGGAATTTTTTCAATGAAATATCTAGGTTTGAACCGTCGTATTAGAGCCGCTATTTTGGATTTCTCAAAGTCGCCACATTGCTGAAGAAAATAGAGTTTAAGGCGAAAATGTTGAGCCTATTCACGATTTTTTTGGTGATCTACAATTTTAGATAGATCCACTACACATTTGACATGGATTGACCTATATATATATATATATATATATATATATATATATATATATATCACATAATAATAACACAGTATTGAATAATATAAGTGTTATCATAAATGTTTTTATTATAAACATTTCTATGTGAATATTTACGTACGTAAGATATTTGCAATTAGTAAATAATATTATTTAAATATTTAATAAATATAAAGCTATCTACCCTTCAAGTAAAACATTTAACTTTTGTGTGCGATGTCAAGGGTCAGCCTACAAGACAATTCTGATACTACAGTGCTTCTCTTCATAAAGAACGTTTTGTGGCTTGATTTATCAACCTCACCAAACTTAACTGTTTTTATTAAACAAATTGAACATTAGAATTTAATTAAAGATTAGTTGTGGTTATTAATTATAACATAATACAACATTTCTTCTTAATATATAATAAAATATGATCGAGTCTGATGTTTACATGTGAAATACAAATTTGTAATTGTATACTTCAATTGTTATCATTTTTTCTTTTAACTTATTCGAGATTACTAAGATATAAGTATGGATTTCTCAAATCTTCCGCCTCCTTATCTTAAACAAATAATGAGTCGCCGACATCATGGGTTGTGATTAATTGATAGGGAAAAATAGCACGAAATGTTAAAATTTCCGTATATTTTGAAATAGATGTATTACTTGTCTGGAAGTCTGAGATTTATATTTCAGCAGTACATTAAATTTATGAATAACTAGTATGGATAATAATCTGCAAAAAACGGAAATATGCCATCAATAAATTATTTTAAGATAGTAAGAGGTCATTTTTTCAAATTACACTGGAACAAATAGTACGAATCAATAATTTGATTAGCATCTGTGAAATTAATAGTGTTGTCTTAAAATGTGGTTGGAAAAGAGAAAAACCGAATAGAATAAAATGGAGAAAAATTGCATATTTTTTGCATTGTCAAGTGAGAGGTATGCGGGAAACTAAATTAATTATTAAAATATTAAATTTCAAGAATTGAATATTGTCTTTTCAACGAGGCAATAAAGGAAAATACGATTTCGAATTGTATTGTTAATACTAATATAACACTGAAACCGTAGAAAATCGCTGTTATTAAGTAAATTTAATATTGTATGATGCATATGATGCAAAGAATGTAAAAATAATAGAAAAATAAAACTAGAGCGCGCGAAGCATACAAAATAACGCCAATAAGTTAAAAGAAAAAATGACAAAAATTGACGTTTACAATTAAAATTTTGTATTTCATAAGTAAACATCAGACTCGATTATAATTTACCATGTATTAAGAAGAAATTTTGTAAGTATTATGTTATAATTGACAATTACGACGTATCTTTATTTCAACTGTAATGTTCAATTCGTTGAAGAACAACAATTAAGCTTGACGAGGTTGGAAAATCAAGCCAACGAAACGTTGTTTATGAAAAAAAATGCTAATATGTGATTTATTCTATGGGCTGAAACTTGACATCGCACTTAACCACTTAGTTAATATTATTTAAAACTATTCTCAAATTTTTCAAAGAACATTTTATTTTTTTAATTTTGCATTCATAGAAAGGCATGTTAATGTGTAGCAACATATTAAATAGTAAGCATGCACACTATAAATAATAAATAGATTTGATAAACTCAACAATTCTTTTATTAGAATAAACACAATATAAACTTACACTACTATTCTCGATTTATATTAGACGTGGATTCCGAAACCTAGCCGGGAATCAACGAAAATCGAAAAAAAATTATAGAAAAATTAGGCGTCGTTAACGAAGTTAGTAAAACTAATTATTTTTCTTACTCAATTTATTTATCATTGGTAAAAAAAATCATAAAGTCAGATACGTGGTTTTTTCATTTGCATACGCTTCCCATCAATTTTAATGTTACGATGCGTGGTTTGCTAATAATCAAAAATCAACTTACGTAAGTGGTGTATGGCGAGCTGCTCTTAGCTCTAATGTCGCTGAGGACTTTTTCGGTGGGGGCTGGTCGTCTTAAATACACATGTAATATAAACGTCAACTTCAAATTTGACACGTGCAATAGTGAAAAAGCGATCACTAAACCAAATATCAATAGTTTGCCTATTTATACTATAAACAGAAAAACACATATTTCGCTGCATTTATAGGTGATTATTTTTTATATAAATAGCGAAAGTACAAGTTAAGTAACTTGTTGTGGATCTCAAAATAATCAGTGATTTGTAGGATGAGCAAACTTGTGTGTTGGAAAATCATACGTTATGCATGAAATTAACATGAAGGAATTGATACAGTTATACCGGGCGAATAATTAACTTATTAAAACATACACTTCAAAATCAACATCATTAGCAATTCTAATTAATATAAATTGCATTAATTCTAATTAATATAAATTATGTTATGTGAAAAAATTACTTACCGTGAACAACAACGGAATATTCCGATTTTCAGATTAGGCTCGCGAAATTTTTGTATCTACACCTACAAGGATTGCTAAAATATTTATTTCCGCATTCTGATCTCCAAATCACATCTTTGGTTCTCATGTGGGAAAATATTGTTTTTAAGTGATACGAAAAGATTTTGTGATTAAATTCGTTACGACATTCGCCTCCGCTCGTACTGTAAATTTCTCGTTTTGTCAAAAAAGCCTTTGCGCACCGATTAGGAAATGTATTATTACAAACTGAATATAGATGGTGCTGTAAAAATGAATCTGCGATTTGATAACCTTCCATAATGAAAATAGAACGTTTGATATTGTAAGTTGACGGTTATATACGTGTGTATTTAAAACGACTAGCCTCGATCGAAAAACGTCGAATTTTTACAGATCGCGTGAATAATCAAACGAAGAGGCGACTTTCTGGTTGTAGCGGTAAACAACCCAAACTGCCTTTACAATGTATTACACCAAGCTTCCAGCGCTTGACTGCCCCCTCCCCCTTAGGCGCTGCTTATTTTCCCGGATCGATGTCTTCATTGAATCTACGCGGTTCGCGAACTCCTTAGTTTCGCCCGCGCTAGATTTTTCTCTTCCTGTTCTTCACTATTGTACTTCTTACTCGTACTTTTCTCCGCCAGTCGTCGGTCCACTGGTCAGTTTATGCTTCCCCTTATCCGTCTTTGGTGATAAAAAGACCTGGAAGGCACGTGATTTCCGGGAGTTATTGAGTTAGTCTCCAGGAACCAAGTTTCTCGGAGCTGAGTTGCGGACGCCCACGGCAATAGGTCGCGTTCGACTTAAGTAACAGTTAAATCAGATACGACTTCTAGCGTCGAGTATTTCACGTCTCCATTTGATCGGTTACAATCGTGTTGTAATACGGACATATTGCCGCTCACGTTTTGGGAGTAATGCTCGTTCGGCTTATTCGCAATCACGTAGCTGACAAAGCCATATAATACAATGATATAATTTTTACGCGGTTTTGCATTGTCCTTTGCGAATGTTTCCCCGATTGCTCGCACATGTCCAAACATAGTCCAGACCGCTCGAACCCTAAGTCGCTAAACCGTGAATCGTTTGTTAAGGTCAGCGCTGGTGTTGCGGACACGGGTGCCGCACAGGGCCCGCACGACCTTTTCTCGGGGGAAACATATTGTTTTTCTTTTTATTGCTCTACGCTTTATTACGTTCGCTGCCTTGGTCTTTCAGCCGACATAGAACGTATCTCGTTGCCACTTGTTCGATTCTTTGCAAATCGCGTATCTTTGATTTTTTTATCAATAACGAAGAAATTGCGCGAGCAAAGTAATTAGTTTTACTAACTTCGTTAACAATGCGTTTAGTTTATTTGTATTTTTTCTTTTTCGATTTTCGTTGAGTCTTGGCTGAACTGGAGATAACTGTGGAGTTAGAGCCTGCATTTTTTTAGCGCTGACGACGTCTACCATTTTTATGAACGTAAAAGTAGTTGAAAAATGTTTATGATTATCATTTGTTAAATATAGTGCATTGGTACCTTGGAAAAGTAAGCTCAGTCGGTTTGTGGAATAATGTTCATACTGACAACGAGCATAACAGTGCTAATCGATAAAGGCACGAGTGCACAATATCGAAAGTCGTTCCCCAGAAAGCACGCCTTTGATCGTTGGCGATCGACGAGGAAGCGAGGTGGCAATTAACTTGGAAATGTTTGTCCATTGGGCAGAGCTTGCAGAGCCCACAGAGCCGGTGTACGACAATCTGGGCGTGCGCAGGACCGCCGACGGCAGCTCGAACTCGGTGCTGTCGCTGAACAAGAGCCCGGAGCCGGGGCTGTCGATGCGCGGCAGGCCGCTGCCGGCGACGCCGACCCAGACGCCGGGCACGCCCAGCTCGGAGTGCTCGCTACCCGTGGCGCGCGGCCCGACCCAGCTGTTCGCGGATCGCTCTGCTCCGGAGGGCGCCTCGGAGTGGCCCGCCCAGGAGGAGCTCCGCTCGTCGGCCCGCTTCGACCAACTGTCTCAGCAGGTGGAAGAGGCGGCGGAAGCGCCATCGCCGGCGCCGTCGCCAGCGCCGGCACCGGCAGCGCGCGAGGACAAGCCGCCGAGCTGCGACAGCCCCAGCCTCGACAGCATCAGCAGCTCTACGCCGAAGAAGGTGCCGCCGAGGCCGCCGCCCAAACCCAAGAAGAAGAGCGCCAATGGCCCCCTCTACGAGGACGAGGGCGAGGACGGCACGGAGGTTAGTCAGTGTTCCCTAATGATGCCGGAATTGTCCGTAAGGATGGCGATGTGAATGGGCTCTGGGGCGTTGTTCTTGCAGGTATGATTGTTGCGGTTGATCGGCGCGCGCGTATGAGAGCGGGCGCCGAAGGCTGGCAGCCAGAGCCGGCTGCTGCCGCTGATCCTCGCTAGCTTGGCCGCGTGCAACGGGGGACCGCTAGTGCCTTTAACGCTGACGCGCGCCGCAGACTGAGAGCAGAGAAGCGAAAGGCCGCTCGCATCCGGGACGCCGCTGCCAGGGGACGGGCCTTTCGACTCTTTCATGCCATGGCTTCCAGCGCACTAGCCTATCTCTCGAGGGCGGCGGGCCTGTGGAGAGCGAGGAGCCTCAGCCCGACGGGCTCTGCGTTGCACCAGCACACTCGCTTGTACTTGACGCTGCGTGCTACCACTGGCCGCAAACCAGCGCTATCGTTCACCTTTCTACAAACTGTAATATGCTGTCTAAGGGAATCAAGCTACTTGTATATTGTTGTTAACGAGTCGAACTGCATCGTTTACCTGATCATTTACGTTGCCTTTTCCCGTCGAGCGACACTTTCTTTCTCTACGACCTAGATCTTCCTGCGACACACGCGTCTCCGGTGGCAATCAACTGAAAATCTATTTCTAAGTGTTCTCTGAACTATGTTCAATATTTTATCGTCTACCCTCGCGCAAGGACCATGCATTGACTATTTCGACGATGCCATTACGTACGGACTAATCCGAGAGTATTTTATAATGAATAATTCTGCCTTGATTAATATTATTAATCAGGCAGAATTGAAAACAATAATCTAGCACAAACTTTCTTTTCATAAAAGTGGTATTTATGTATATATCGACGAAATGCACTATATTGAAAAACAAAAAATAATTCTACGTCTTGCTAGTATAGGACGAGACCTTTGCGATTGTATGCATGTATCCAATCAGGTCTGCGGATAATTCTGTACGATCTTATTATATATAAATTATTGTGCCCAGTAACAGTATAAGAAATGATATACGCTAATTTACGCCACGTTACTGTGCACAATGGTTTATGTGTACAATAAAACCGTGCAGAATTGTTCATACGCCTCCACAATCCTATCACTTGAATATTTCTTTTTCAATCATGGTGCTAACGAAATTTTACTTGAACAAAAGCAACGAATGACTGGTTGAAAGTTGATAACTGTTCGTTCTACTTTTCTCAACTCACCAATTAACTGTTTTTCGCACGTTCTCGCATTCGTTAACGTTGTTCCCTTTTATTGCGTCATATGTAAAAAAAACCAATACTCGGTGGTCATTTACGTAGAACTAAGTCTTGAAATGTTCGATATATTCTTCGATATAAGGGTGCCGATTATTTGAGTCTTTCGGTAAGATCGTCTTAAGTAAAAATGATCACTGTAATATAGATATATCGAAAAATGATAATAAAATAAATAAAGAGAAACAAAAACGAACAAAAATTTACTCTACGTGGGCTACGAAGACTCTATGTATATATTGTATATTAAAAAAAATCGCTATTGCAAGGAAACCCTTTTTATGCATGGATTTTTTGCATCTTTCTCTTATTAAGAATTTTTATACTAAGTTCAAAACAAATTCGTCATTGACTATATGAGTAATAATACTTTACTGCCATGTGTTCTATTAACTTTTTTCCTGTTACTTTCAGAAAATATGATAATCATACTAAGTAATCAGCTTTCTATTTTGCTTTTGTTATATTAATCACAAAAAAGGATTGTATATCAAACTATGTATTTTTATACTTTTTTTATCTTTTTATCGATTAAGATATTACATAGAAATGTAAATTTCAGATAATTTGTGAATTATTGTTGATGAGGGCCATAATTATCTTAGCATTACTAATTCATGTGCATTAGTTTATGTTTAAATATTTTATATTTCATCACTTTCGAGATAAATTTAATTTCTAATTTATCTAATTTAATTACCTAAATGCAGGTTTTACTCTTTCAAAACTGCTTAACTGAAAAAAATCGTGTCATCAGAGATAGGTTTTATTATAGAAAATTGAATAAAAAATGGAAGAGCACGTTGTATTCAGTATTTATAAAAGGTCGCCTATATACTTACATGACATTTATAATCTTGAGTGAAAAATAATTGCATATTTAAGATGTAGTCTTATTTTATGCGAACCAAAGAAGTTTTCACATTGTAAAACTTTTACATGAATTATAAATATTACTGAATGTATACATTTGATCTTTACAATACTGTACAGTTGAAATTAAAACTGACTCGAAATGATGACAAAATTAAATTATAATAGCATTTCGTAGCCCACTCTTCGGAAAATTTTTTTATGTATATATGACTTTCCTGAAAGGCCAAGACTCTGTCAATCTTAATGGATATCCGTATAAATAATTTTTTTACAAAAAATATATGCAGTGAAAAAGTAGTATAGAGTAAACACATACAACAGAGCAATTCATTAAGTTCTATGTGGATGGTGGCGTGATTTAATTTGTCATTAATTATATGAAAAATTGATTCAAAGAAAACTATAAGTAATAAGACGTATAATATATAATATACACGAAGATTGAAAAAGTTATTGTTAGTGCGTTAGACAGTGTATAAAACATGAACATGAAAAATGATGCTCAAAGGTATTACTAGTTTGAAAATAAAAAGAAAAATGAGAAACAATAAAAAATATTATTTGTTTTTCTACAATACTTGTTACTTATAGTTATATTCGTTATGCCTAACTAGTATGCATGGATTTTTATAAAATTGGCTTATTAATATTCCGAGCAAATTACCAGAAACATTTTGTTCTGAGAAAATTGCCTTAGTTATAGTATATTTTATATATATATATAAGAAGTGATACTTTATTTTTCAATGTAATGGAATTTGATTATGTGTTACGTATGATTAACTGCGAAGTTGGATCAGTATTCACGTTAATGAATGAGTATTGAATATCAATTATATAATTTGTTTATAGTTATAGGGACTATTAGATTTAACAATTTTTTGTTTCATTCATGATGTACTATCATGAAAGACTTAAGTTGTATTATTTTTTATAATTTACCAATTTTGCTTGTTAGTTCTTGATATGTAGTTAAACATTTGATCATCAACAATAAAAACTTCCACTGACAAAATGAACAATTAATTATTCTATCTTGTAAAATCTCAAACCAAATCAAAAAGATAACTGAAGTGTATTTCTATTAAATTTTACATTTTTTCCAAGTTTTAATGACTGATTTACTCATTTAAAGTTTACGAAGTTTTAATAAGAGCCATCGATCAACGTAATTGCTAAGTTAATTAAGTTTTTCTTTGCTATAAATGTTTATCCAAATTAAAAATTTGAACACTGAAGCCAATATGTGTGTGTGTGTATATGTGTGTCTTTTTTTTTTTTTTTTTTTTTTTTTTTTTTTTTTTTTTTTAAGGGGTTGGGTAAAAATCTTTTAAAGACCAGACGGCCATTGTTGACGAAGCCGTCGAAGCGACCTCGGCACCAATGTGCCGTCTTGTGTCGGAGTCTCGGCTTGTATTGTATGTGTGTGTCTGTCCGCGCGCGCGTGTGTATGTGTGTGTGCGTTTGGGTATACACACACATATATATATATATAAATATATATAAATGAATATCTTGTACCATAAAAGAATATATAATGTATAATAGTGTGCATTATACCCATTATAATCTTTTTTAAAAATAAATTTTACGCATCACATAGTGTAATAATAAAATAGCTGTTTGCAGACTTTTATTAAGGTATAAGTGATGTAAGAATGCTGATTTGTACACTGTGTAAAAAGAAACTATAAAAACTATAAAAACGCAGAAGACGATAAGATATAAATAAAGAGGAATAATAAAACTTTTGTGTTGATTATTTTATTGCAAATGTATCAATTATTCAAGTAATCATAACATCCGTTCTAATTATATTCTATTTGTTTATTTATAATTTGTTACCAACAATGGAGAATATACTTTGTACGCTATCGCAAAAGGAGAAAGAATACTTGAGTATTTTATATAATTTGAAAAAGAAGGGAATAAAATGAAGAAAAATTAGAATACCGCAACGCCACCAGAAAGAACCTATACGAGGCTAGGTGTATAAAGAACGTGTAATAGCAATTGAAGAAAGTAGTCCAAGAAAAGAATTACAGATTAAAGAGTCATATGTTTCACAAAAACATAGAGATTTTAAAATATTTATCATACTCCTTAGTTATAACGTGCCAAATCGACTTAATCATTATGCCTCTCTTTTATTTTTATTTGTAATAGTATTATTAATAAAAACATATTCTTTTATTCTATACTTCAGGATCTTTGTACAAATCGCTGTAAACCAAGATAAATAAAGGAGGGAGGTGTGAGGGAGAGAGAGAAAGTGCACAGTACACGAGCGACAGAGTGTGAGGGGAGCGGGGGGATCTTTTTCGCGTGGTCGAAAATTAGTTGACTGAGTTGATGCGGCGCGTACATACTTTTTTCCTGCTGCCGAGCCAGCCGTCATTCATTCTACCTGACATTAGCAAAGTACAAACAACTAGTTATACCATTTTTAGTAATTAAAGAAGCTGTTAACGTGCAAGTTTCCTTGAACACTAGTGTAGTAGGAACTTACTGACAAATCTATATTTAGACATATCTATATTAGAGTAAGACTCCTATCCACCCAACCCACCCACCTTTTTGTTGGAAGTTCCTGCTCGATGTCTTGCTTCTCTCTCTCTCTCTCTCTCTCTCTCTCTCTCTCTCTCTCTCTCTCTCTCTCTTTCTACCGCTTAATTTGTCTTTGTATTTCCTTCACTTTCCACTGTACTTGATTATACTTAACCAATATTTATATATAAATGTACTTTTGTTCATACTTTCATTCATTTTTTCATTTTTTATTTAGCGCGCCTGACTTCTATCCTGTGCCCTCTTTATTTTTTCGATACAAATATTTCTGTGATTTTAGCTTCTACTATCTACGATGTTCTCCGTGGACCTCGAGGCTTAACAGCCTTGTTGATGGCAAACTGTGCTACATGGACAGACTTCGCACATACCACGACGAACTCCGCTGCTTGCTGCTTTAGTGAATCTCTTTCTCACCACCAATTTATGTACGGGTCCCTCTCCTCTCATCAAAAACCTCGTTATACAGTAAAAAAACTAACAAGATTTTTTAAATATTTTTTGTTAATTATATTGCAGATTGCGATTTGAAAATTTATTAAAATACCTTCTTATGGAGATTAACTGTTCTTGAATGTTCAATGTTATTAGTTCACGTTAGTAATTCACAATCAATTAAATTTATTCTCGTATCTTCATAATCGTTCAACTTTATTAACTTTTTTTGATACATACAATTATTAACGGAATATAAAATAATAAAATTTTAAATAACAATTTGTAGCTAAAGATTCAAAGAATTATTTAAGTTTAAGTTAAGGGTATAGTTTGTAGATGAAGATAATGAGGATTTGCTCGAGAGTAAAGAAGAATTATATTTTATTCCATGACAAAATAAGTTTGCTGTTAGAATAGAGACTAATTTAGAACTAGAAAATCCAACTGATATTGGGTTCGAGTATTTGTGGGTCAGTATTGTCGGTAAATAAAATTATTCATATATTATTATATATTTAGCGGTAGCAAATGAAGGCTTACACTAGAGTAGAGAATAGAAAAATTTGGTTGGAGACAGAAGAAATGTCAAAAGGATTAAGTGTTACATTGAAATTGATAAAGAAGCCTTCAGAAAAAAAATTCAGATATTGTAAAAGAAAGATGCAATCGCTTTGACAAGTGCAATAGGTAGGCTTTCATATTTTCTTCATACTCGATGTTTGTAGGCATAATTTATATTTGTCAAAGAAAGAAAAACACCCTATCATCCTACTCATCCGACACCAATCAACTAGACTCATCATCGAGAAGGTATACAACAAGATTACGCTTCATGGAAGACCAAGAGTAGTACAATCACATTTGTTTCGAAAAAAACGTGATTCACAATATTGTACACCAATGTGTCAAGTATACAAGACACCAAACAATGACTTTAGAACAAAAACTTTTTTTATTGGGTTAGCGATTAACTCCGCCTCCAAAACTGTTTAACGAGATTAATGATACGAAAACAATCGCTACGAAACCACTTTTTGAATCGATGGCATCAAGAATTATTGCAAGAGTTACAGAAGTGGTCCAAATGGTTTAAACCAAATCACCGCTTCAAGATTAGAAACCTAGTGCTCTTTGAAGACAACTTGTAACTTTCTACAAAATGTTCTTTAATGAGAATTATGAATTTAACTATCGGCTCGTATGGTTTAAGTAAAATGACTACAGTCAAAACTGTAGCAGGGAAATTTAATAGACTTACTGGTTTAATTGACCCATCGATTGATTTTACTGTCAGTTAATCAGGAAGTCAACGTCACGTGCTGCACAATCACGTCGGAGTTATGTCATTCGACTAAGCTACATTCACGTGATAACTATATACGTAACAGACTATAATAGACATTATGACGGCATCTATCAGTGCATATGAATTGAGTATAGAATGTAAGTTGAAACAGTGTGTGTTTTAGTGAACAATACGTGATCGACAATATTCAGTGCACGAGAGTAACTTAACTCTCTCTTTTTCCGCCCGCCTCTCCACTAATCCTCACAATTGACCAATGCCCATAAGTTTAATTCGCCCCAATTAGTTTTCACAATCAAGAAAAATTATGATTGCCGCATCATGTAATATATGCTGATTCTTGACATTTTCTTTGAACGCCGACAATTGATACTTCAATTTGCGACTCGTCTTTTTGTGGTGATTCATTATTTCTTTTTATAGTATAATCTGACTGGTCACTTTGGATAGGCTTATCATTCATATCTTATGGAGTTATAGTTTACTAATTTTGTTGATTTAAATCTCCGATACTTGAACGACACTTTTGAATTTAATTTGGTAGTTTTCCTTGCTTGCCGTATCTAGTGGATCTTGATTATTTTCTTTGATATTCATTTTAAGTAATTCATTGATGTAGCATTCAAAATGTAATATCACTATCCAATTTGATTAAATAATATAACTGACTGAACTTTTAACATTGTGCCACGTTTCCAGTGGATTTTAGTTATTAGTAACATTTTGTTGAATGTTTTGAGCCTTATTACATGTCTAATTTGAAGTACTATTTTTGTCTATTTTTGTTAAATCTATCTTCAGCCAACGAATCCAACTTTGTGGCAACTATACTGAATGTACTTGTCTATCACGTTAAAAATTTCATATTGAATAATTCTCCTGTTATATACTATATTGACACATGGCAATTGATGTAGGATGTAACAGGGTGTTAAGTCCTAATTTGAAAAATACGCTCTTTCGCAAAAATGTATAGTTGGAATCAGAGTCAACCTCAAAACGACCGTTGGGACTTCGATGTTAAAGTTTATGTAGGAACGTTATATTTATATATTATTTATATTATTGATTTGATTCCGATTTTAAGATATATTTACAATTTTTAATACCATGTACATGACGAACATCTTCTTTAACTTTTTGTATGTAATTTGTCGTCGAGTAGTTCGATCTTGACTTTTTTTTGTAGAAAAGTTTAACGGCACACTTTACATACGTGTCCATTGTTTTTGAAGAAGCAATATTCTTAGCTTAGATTTATCAATGAGATTTAAAGAATATCAATAATCTGAAGATGTCAGTAAAACCAATTAATAAATAGTGTTTTAAATGTACTATATTAACAGATCTAAGTATAATAGAGATTGACGAGAAAGAAAGAAATTTAGTGTTTTGATAAATAAAGTATGTTACAATAAAGTTATTATTTGCAAACGTAACAATTCTATCCAGACCACAAAACTAAATTAAAAATAAAGACTTGTGACTCGAGATTAGCTAAGTAATAAAATTAGGAAATAAGTTTTGTTAATATTTTTCCGGAAAAATAAACTCATTATTGAACTGATCTAACTGATTTAACGTTTTTTTATATGAAAAATGCACATGTGCAATAAACTGAAAATATATTATCTTAAGAAAATCTTTAGAACTTTCAAAAAAATAATCCGTAAATTATTATCACTTTTATCTTCATTATTAGACGTACAATGAAGTTGTACTTATATAATATAATTATATTGATATAATAGGTTCTTTACACTAAACAAAACACTCTATACTCATAATATTTTGTTAAAATTTATTGTGTCAAAATTATAATAATACATAATTATTAATTGTTTTGTAAATTAATATTAATACTTTCATTTTGGTACATTTTGGATCACTAAATTTATCAGAAACCAAATCCAGTACTGATTAATTGTATTAGTACTTACGGAACTGATTTAATAACAGTAATCTTTTATCGACATTGTTTTCGATAAAATAATTAATCAAGCATGTTTATCGTGAGCTGTTACATTATTAATCATGGTATAATTTAACGACTGTTTATGTCGACCACATGGAGATGTATTGTTTAATTTTTAGAAAACTTAACGTAAGGAAATCACGTTTTCTCAATTACGAGCTACTGGCATGTAAATTTTAATATGAACTCATGGAATGCTCATGCTTATGCTCATCTACATGAAATCCTCATGTCCAGCTTTTTAAAAATCTTAACGGTGTAGTTTTTTATATATAATTCTTTTAGCATTTTTGAATATTTTTCCTCGAGTACAAGTTTTTCTTAGTGTTTCATAATTTAGGTGCGTGTATATATGTATGTATACATACATGTATATATATGTGTATATACACATATATATATATATATATTTCTATATGAATATATTACTTTGTACGTTTTTATTTTATCTACATACTGCCATTGATCCCAAGTTCATTAAGAGCTGCCTGTATATGAGAATCTAGAGGTTCATTTTCGTCGATATTACTGTTTTTATAATCCCTTAAGAAATAACATGTTCCTTCTACATCTTTTGGCATCTCTTTAGGTAGATCCTCTTTAGACCTTTCTATTAAAACAAATCCGGGTCCTTGCATTAAAAAACTGCAATTTATTATTGATAATAAGTCAGCCGTATATTACAACTATAAAACTATCATATATTATTCTCTTGATTAGTGAAAATAGTTTACCTGTATGTAGTTGGGCTAACATTAATATGCAACGGTTCACTGGACGATTCAAATTTATTTGCTATAGTTACGTTATGGCCAAAAAGACAGTACCTCGGCATCTTTTTTCCAACAACACCAGCAAGTACCATGCCTGTGTGGATACCTATTCTCATCTATAAAACAAAATAATTTTTTAATCGAATTAGTATGTATATCATGAAAAAACTAATTTTTAATTTTTTTAATACTTTATACCATGGTGCCGTATAGTGATTTTTGAAAAAATATATCGTACCACGTGTGAAAAAATGTTATTTTTGAATATTTTCAAAATGCATTGAAATAAAGCTTTGAAAGTTAGTTTAAAAATTGTTAAATTATATATCGAAAAAAAAATCACACGCACACATGCGCGCACGCACACAAACACACACATTAGCTTTAAGATTATTTTCATTTAAGTAGAATTAGTTTGAACAGTTCTTCATAATATTTCAATTAATACAAGATGTAAGAATAGTAGCATGAAAATCCATCCTATTAATTAAATAATAATTTTAGTCTATAGGTAATTTTGTCGTATCAAAATTATAGATTATAAATGAGCACACGCAACAATATTCCAAACGTTCACTGAGTGAGGAGTTGAAGAAACAAGTTAAATTCAAAGTGAATAGATTAAGAAAGTTATTGGTAACAATAAACATTTTTCATAAATCAAGGTTCAATATTTAAAAGTACTGATGTAAGTTCAGTTACATACATATCAAAATTCAACTTTGTACAATATAATTTACCAATATAAACACGCGAGTGCATGCGCGCATACATGCGCATACACATGAAACTTTGGTAAAATTCGTTGAAAAAAAATATAGATAAATTGAATCACATTAACAAAGATAGCAAAAGTAATTAGTTTATCCGTGCAATTTTGTTTCCATTAAAAAAAATTATATAGTTGGTCCATGGATTTTCTTAATTGTGTTTAGGTTGTAGCGTTGATTGTTGATTGTTTAACAATTAAGGCGAAAAATCAATAATTCAATTGCACGTGAAAATTTCGCCGAAGTTTTACTAACAATTAGGACTATTTTCGATATTATAAAAACACTGTAAAAGTATTTCTTGGCACATTAGTTAAAACTCATGAACGTGCTCTCCGAAAAAAAGATATTTTAATAAATTAGATAATAAAATAACGATATCGAAGCATATCTTAATATGATGGATTAGATCGTGGTCATTTGATTGTTCCATTTTATTAGTATTTTTTTGCATGATCCACGATACGCGATATACTGCAAAAGGTATGATTGACAGTCTTCATAATTTTAGTTTTTGTCTTTCCTAATTTGAGACAATTCGATTTGAATTATCTCTTGTTAATTATCTCGATTTTATTTCTGATATTTATTTACAATTCGTGTATCATAACACTGATCACAATACTGCTACTATTGATGGCAACAATACTTTTTATTATATAGACGGTAAAAAAGAAAGGAGCTCTACTGACCAATGCAAATAATTTCGAGTTTATTACATTAACTGATTTTTAAGATAATAAGCTTTTTTAATTTGAGTATTATAACCGTCAGTGAAAGGGCGTTAGACGACATTGATATAGTCGCTAAAATTCAACCTATTGATTTATACATGTACAGTACATCTACATCTACCGTGTATCTACATATAGTGGTCTATTAACTCAACATAATGACTATTGTTGATTGTTCAGCAATGACGATGGAATACCAATAATTCAACTGCATAGAAAAATTAAGCCAAAATTTTATTAACGTTTAGGACTATTCCCGAAATGACAAAGACACTACAGCCCAAATGCAATTAAGAAGACTAACGAACCAATTTTATAATATTATTTAATGAAATCAAAATTACACGAATAAAATAATTAGTTTTAATATCTTTGTTAATATGACGCAATTTAACTATATTTTTTAATGACATTTATTTGATTTTGTGACCAGCTCGTGATAAAACAGCAGCTTGTACCGTGTGTCGATATTAAATGATTTAACTTTGTTTATACCAACACAAATAACTTTTGTTCTGATATCGACTGTTAGAAAAGTCGATGTCTGGAATACTCTGATTCGATCGGTAAGTAGAAATAATACGTATACCTTGATAGGTTTACCATCGTGGGTTAAATGCTGTGTGCAAGTTTGTATCATTTTCAGTGCCATCCATGCTATTTGCTGAGCATGGGTATTTGTGTTTTTATGTAAACCACAGGCCACACAATAAGCGTCTCCTATTGTTTCCACCTAAAAATCGTAAACTTCTTTTTTTATTTTTCTTATATATTTAGTCTACGCTAACTGATAAATCATAATGCGGTTGATTATAGTTAACTTAAAAAATTATAATTTTCATAATCAGTTCTTTATTTTTAAAGTGAATAAACCATATACGATATACGTGCTTATATCTACTTGATACATTTTTCTTTGATAATTATTTACTAACCTTTCAAAATCTAATATTTTAATCAATTTTTTCATTAGTTGAAGATTTCAATTATCTGCATATTACTAAATGCCGGCATTAAAATTTCTTATTTAATTTTTAAATTCAAAATTATAAACGAAGGAGATATTTTGTTTCTTTGAAAATGTATGAAGTAGTTTATATTATCTCGTATAACTGATGTCTCTACATTAATTCTACAAAGTAACTTATTAATCAACCATAAAATAATGAAACAAACAACGTATTTAAAAATTGTAATTTCAAATAATGCTAAGAGCCTAATTTTAGATGTTGAATATAAAAGCCAATTTTATTGTAAAATAATCGACAAATGGTTTGTAATGTAGTAAATGAAAAGTATGAACAAAAATTGAGAATCAGATGTACCTTATAAACATCGAGTTGACCGCAATACAGATCGAACTGTTGATACAAATTTTGAAGCATGTTTATAACCATCATTGGAGTAGCTGTGGAGCAGATTGCTGTAAAGCCGACTATATCACTGAATAGCATTGTTACATCCGCATAATTTTTCGCTTCAATGGTTTCCCCTGTAAGAATTTCAGTGTGTTATCGACTATCATTACTTGAAATGAGGCAATAAAATGAGGAAAGTTTGTTTAGTGCGATGTTTTATTGACAGTTTTAATCGAATCTTCTATCTATGTATAGATATTTTGTACGAGTTGTTTTTATGAACGTAATCGTGAGAATTTAATTCAAACAAGATCTAGCAATATAGGTAAATCACGTAACATTGTTAACAAACTGAAATGGTAGTTTTCAAGATTATTGTACGCGATTGAACAATGTAAGGAAAAGTAAGCTTTCCTAGAAAAGATTTCGATGAGAAAAAAAATTGATCGGATTTACCGAGTGTTCATTGGAGTTGTTTTCTACATACATATAGCGTAAAGAAGTAAGTGCATCCCAAACATACCAAGCCAGAGACGCTTAGCTATATCCGGCGGAAAGATAAGATGGAGAAGGCTAACATTTTTCTCCCTTTCGGTGTCGACAGCTCGATTCGCCTCCTCAATAGAGCTCTTCAATTTATCCATGCGTCGGCGCAAACCATCCTATGTAAAGTAGATCATTGTAATTCAGTTTGGCTCGATAGCGAAAACATTTGCACATAATACCAAAACGTTTCAGTGAACATTTTTGTGTAAAGTGCTGCATTGTGTGTATGCTGCGTGGCAGTTTCCACGAGTATCTGTACTTTGTGTTCAATTCAAAACATCCAGACAGTGCCGATAAAAATAACAGATACTCGCATCTTCTTATTTCACTGTCGATTTACAAATAGATACTTCCGACTAACTAATTAATTTACCTGAGCTCGCGCCTGCTCGCCGACGAGAATAACGTCTCTCGTTGCATCATGGAGTGGAATATCTGAGATAAAGAGGCCTCGGCCGGTGAGTCCCTCTAATCCGTTTAGAAAAGGCGAGCTGACGAATAGAATAGAGTCGGATTCCGGACAATGAACCATCTGTCCTTTGAACTCGAGGCCCTTCAATGAAAACAGTATTCGATTGCGTTTTTGAAAAAGTTATTTCGCATCGACCCCACTACAATCAGTATAGCTATGCACTTTACTACAGTTCAAAAAAGGCTTTCAAACAAGGTGGCGGCGTTTTTATGTTTACCTCTTTTTACTGTTATTTTTTCTTAATTTGTCGTTTTATATTTAAGAGCACTTGCGGCTATACAAAACTACATACCGTAAACGATTTATTGTTCTTTTTGATCGAATTTTTCATATAATTTTGAAATACATCAAAGTAGACTTAGTGATTTTCTCGTTTACACTCATTCATAGTGAGTACTGCTTTTAAAAAATGTATCTAACGTATATTGAACTATTCAAAAGTAAATTTTCAACTTCTGGCGTATTATTTATAAAACGTGTAAATGCCCAGTAGTGGCGTGAATCGATTACTGACGTAGACTAAAATCAAGTAAACTCTTTAGCCCCGTTAATTTAATCTAATATGTTATTGAAGATGTTATAGGCTGTAATAATAAAGGAAAAAAGAGAACATGCAATTTATCGTTACTGGATAATCTGAAGTACAAGTTAATTGTCATTACATTTAAACGAAAAAATTAAGACGAAAAATTTAACGAGAACGGAGTCATAATTGAATATAAATCGGTACTACTAATTAATTTATGTGACGAGTAAATAAAAAACAACAAATTGAAATAGTTTGCAGCCATTGTCGATGCAAATAAATTTAATTGAGATCTCGAAGAGCGGTCCTTAAAGTGTTCTGCGAGGAGAGTTTGTGAGAGCCATTGGCAGCAGTACAACGCGGAAAGAAATACCAATGTTGAATAAAATCGACTGGGAGCAGAGTTTGGCGATAAAACCGCGGGCGTAAATGACGATATTGATGGTCATTAAGAGAAAAGAAAGGCGGAAAAGCAGCAGCGGGCGCGTCTTTCTGGAGGTAGCCTGCAGCGGTGAGTGGCTGGATAATGATACCTCCGCTTGGAATTGCTCTGTGCCTGGTGGTCTCTGGAGCGCGAGGACAAAAGGCGTGTTGGACCTCTTAAGAATCTCGTGGAAGCTGAGAGTGACGCCGCGGGGCCTGGTAAAGACGAAGTAGGTGGAGATGTCACGGCCGTGCTTGTTGAGGTGTTGGCCGAAGATGCGCATAAAGCCGACGCCCAGCTGAACGAACTCGAGCTGACGGTCGACCACCAGGTGCCAGGGAAAGGCCTTGCAGAAGCTGGCCACACCCATACGCAGGTCGGCGGCGTCGTGCGAGAGCCGAGGTCGCGGTTCCGCCGGCACCCCGATGTCCTCGGGTGTCTCCGCGCTGGACTTGCTGTTGCTGTTGTCGTCCTCCTCCTCGGCGCTCGGCCGCCTGGCCGTCGTGCTCACTCCGCTGCTAAAGTGCTCGGGCGTGATGCGGTACCTGCAATCGCGAGCCAAGCGAGCGCGGCATAAGCGATTGGCAGCCACGCAAAGACCCGGGGCGAGCAGCAGCTCGAACTCGCGTCGAGTGATTGATCGAAATAATCGGCTGCAGCCGAGCGGACTGGTACGCGAGAGCAGAGATCGGGACACGTATCGCGCGGACGGATGACCTATGGCTGTGAGCAGTGCGCGCGCGTGTAGTCCTGTACTCGTAAAAGCCCGCGATCGTTCGAGCCGGCTGGCACGGCATAATTATCCGCCGGGAATAAAAGCAGCGCGTGGCCAGAGTGAAAGGCGAGAGGGAAAAGCTGCAAAGACTCCAGAGAGTTTCCATCTCGCAGGACGGCTTTTTACTTTGTTATTGGCCGACGGCGGCGGCGGCCCGCTCCCTCCGCGCCCCTTCCACGAACGAATGATCTATCCGCGCGCGCTCTCGCCTACTGTTTCCAGTTTGGTGAATCAGCGGACAAAGCTCGCGCGCAGCCGTCGCGCTTTCTAATTATTATCCCGCGCAAGTTCCCGCGGCTACTGTTTATAAGCTTGCTGATTGGTTTCAGCTCCGCTAACGGTGGACTGTATCCGTAGTGCGACATCGTTATCGAGGACTTTTCTCAATATCTCGAGCGGTGAATATCGGTTAGAAGCCGTTCCGATCGAGTATCAACTTTTATCGTTTGTCAATCAATTATCGACAATCAATTCAGCCGATCAGCCAATCGAGCTGGCATGCACGTGATATATGCATGGCTGCAGCTCAAATATCGCCAGCGACGGTGCCGTGCTGCTTATAAATAATAATAACGCTTGTACAATTTGAACGAACTTGGCGCGGTACACTGAAACAGCTCGAACATTCGATCGGGGTTACGGGCTACATGATTCCGTGAATGCGTCGTGGCCGCAGGAAGCCCGGTAAAGTGAACTTACCTAAAGAACTTGGTGTTGTAAGGATCGGGAAGTATGTAGACGTCGGCTCGGTCGTTATAAAACTGTCTGGCGATGCCCTTGAGGCTGCCGACGAGCAGATAGGCAATGGAGGCGTGCTCGGTGGTGAAGTGAAGCTCGAGGGCGCCGCGGGTGGCGATGCAGACAAATTCGGCCTCGGTCTCCGTGCCAGATTCGTGCTGCACCACGTCGTTCACGCCGTCGAGAGTCGTCAAGAAGGCCGTAAGGTCGTTGCCGAGGCAGCGAAACGCTCGCTCCAGCAGACCCTCTGATGCCGTGGCGATCAGCTCTTGGCCTAGTTTGTCCATAAAGTCATCGGCGTCGAAGTCTGCAATCAATCACAAGGCGCGCCTTATATGCCTATACTCGACGGGATGTTCCATCGCAAGTGATAGCTGAACTTGCTCTGCGCTGATCAGCCGTTTAATGCTCTCGCGCTCACTGCCGATGAAATTGACTTTTCTCAAAATTAGAAGATAGTCAAAGTTGAGTTGGCCACGCGGCAATTTAATCAAGTAGAGCCTATTTGCTACTCAGAAAGTCGGCAGCAGAGAGAGAGAGAGAGAGAGAGAGAGAGAGACAAGGTAGCTGGCGCAGCGTTGAGTAATTATTTGCTAAGCGATTAAAGCTCAACTCCACATCGGCCTATCGGTAAATAGAGCGTGCTAATTTTAATGTCCGTTATGCGTTCGTGCGCGGCCAGGACGAGCTGAAAAATCGAAGGACGTCGGCAATTTTTCCGTGCGCTCGCGCCGCGGTAGCGAGCTAATGGTGGTCGGCCAGGCGGTTTAAATTGGCTGTGCGATATGTAACTCCTAGTGATTATTTTGCTAGAACGATTGCCGGCTTTTGATTCGAATTTTCACGGATTTCACGCAAGCAGACTCGTTACAGCATTGTACCGGGCAATGGTCAATCAGCCGACAAATGGCGGAGCATAACAAAGCCTCCCTTCCCGTACCACGTGCACAGGTGCGCGCACACACACACACACACACACACACACACACACACACACCTACACCGAGTCCACGTCTTTCTCTGTGGCATGTATGCACACGAGACAGAGGGAACGGGGGCGAGGGCCGTTGCATTATCGTGGCAGCCGCTGCCGGCGGTGGCCCATCAAGCTTGCTCGCGGTCGATCGATAAAACAAGAGAGGGAGAGAGAGAGAGAGAGCCTCTGCCGTCTCGGTTTCTCTCGGCGACGCGCTTATTCGGGCTTCCTGCCTCTCTAGTTTAATTCGCCACCAGTATAGCCACCAACGCATTCCGGACGCGCGGACGCATCAATAGCCCGCTCTAATTCTAACGGCGATGCCATTGCCACCGTAGCGGCCGCTTCACATCGATTTTCAGCGCTCGCTCGGTTCGCGGCTAACTCTCGTCATCGACGCGCTCGATCTTCTGCCTCCGCTCTGTAAAGCATGCCAGCATCACCAGATTTCGCCGCTAATTCGTCTAGTTATCAAATGGTAATTATTTAATTGGATTTGCCAATTCACCGAACAGCTCTCGGCCTCCAAGCCACGCGTTGTAACAATTAACACATCGCTAAATCGCTCGCCCTCTCCGCAGCTATCGCTCTGTGACTCGCCTGGTCTAACGCTATTCGAGTAATGAATTCGCTGTATATTTCTTCGATCCGCTAACTGGCGTGCACGGGACGCTACGTAGGTAGTGCCTGGACGGCTGATGGCAGATCGGGCGGAGTGTCGACTGCGAAACAAATGATCTTCTCGCAATTGGATTGGCTGACAAGCCACTTGAAAAAAATGCATAATGAAAAATAAAAAGCAGACGGGCACCGGGGATGCCAAATGTAACGCTGAGATGCGGAAGCACGCGATACTCGTGGCTCTTCCTTATTGAAAGAACAAGAGAGGCTGCAAAAACCGCACGACTCATCGGTATGCAGCGGGGCACTCGCCATTATCCTTAACGCGCCAGAGCCTTCTTCGCCGGCGCGAAGTGAGCGCGGGAGAGCACGCGTTCGCGAGTGGGCGCGACACATCTGCGAGATGTAGCAGCGTCCTCGACCCCGTCCAGTTTCGCGCGTGGGCGATGAAAGAAACGAGATTTCCCGCCTGGGACGAAGGTATAGTAGGGCACGAAGTGATCGCACACAGCTCGAGCGTGATTTCATGCATACGGTAAATATGAGCACTTGCTAAGCGCCACGCGACGGCCTGGGACCCGTCGTCGCCTACGCTATCTCTCGACGCAGCGACGACAGAGATGAAAAGAAAGCTCTTTTCGCAACCGTTCCCGCACCATTTTATCTCGGATTCTCCGAGCGCGACTTCGAGAGCTTTTCAATGTTGTGATATTATTTTCTTTTTTCTCCCGCTGTTTCATCGATCAGATCAGCTTCTATTTCCTGCGAATTTAGCTCAGTCAAATCAGTTTTATCAATATCTTCGCTTTCGTCGCGCATCATTCTAATAATACGCGAAATTGACCTTAATAGCCGATCAGTGCGCTTGAAGCACAGGTGTGACCTATAGCTACAGCCAAACGAGCTATTTTACGGGATCTTTTGTTCGCGGACAATCAGACGACACAGAACGAAAGCTCGCTGTTATTCCGATGCTTGTTTTACAGCAATGCAACACAGATATTAAAGTTCAAGAGGTCGTTAGAATTTTACTGCACTCGTGAAAGATGAATTGTGAGTAATATCGGAATTGAAAAAAGTGTTGTTAAATGGTTCGATCGTCGCAGCGACGTCTCTTTATTTTTTCGAGTTTATTCGAATGTTGCTTCAGTTACTGTGCAAATCCCGGGGATACGCACGGACAGAGTGAGTGCAGCCAGAAAAATGGATGCAGCAGCGAGGAAAGACGATGAAAGAGGAAAGACGGGTGCATTTGCTTTGGCGTTCGGCGGGCCCGCCAGAAGTCATTGGCGACGCGACGTCGGCGAGCAAGGCGTTGCTCTACAAGTCAATTCCATAAATGGGCCAAGAGAGCAGTACGAAGTGCGCATCGCGTCTCGTCGTCGCCTGCAGGCCGCGCATACAGGCTAGCCCCTGGGCGTATTGGCAATGTCGGAAGTTCGCTGTGCACACGGCTTTCGTAAAACATGCACGTCCTTGTCGGCAAGTCGACCAAGCCGAAGAGCAGAGCAGAGCTAGACAGCAACTAGGCGTTCTCGCTGTATGTGTGCGACACAGCTCGCAGGCACTATGGACTTCTATCGCGCACAACTGGCGACGCGGAACAGAGCGCTAACGTTCTTCTCCTAAAACACGCCTGACAATGTTTCAATCAACCTGTCGAGCAGCCATATTGGCGCGTAACTCGCTTACTTCGCACACCCATTCGATTCTCCTTCGATAATGCACTTTGCGCGCCAATTACATTTCGTCCCCTCTTTCTTCGCTTTTTGCCTATATTACTAGCTGCATCAGCTGATTTGCTCATACAAGCTTTTCACATGCACGCATACCACTTGGTCCCATCACTACCTCTTTTCTGTCTGGATATTTTCATAATTAACAAATAGTCTAGAAGCTGGATCTCTTCCTATATGCGTCGGAGATTCACTTCAGAAAAATTATGTAATCCCATGACAAATTTCCTGCTGAATCCGAATTTCCGAGTGACAAATTGCAAAAAGTGGGAAGTTTTCCGGTAGACCTAAAAAAACTGAGTTTTCTGATTCGAAGTAATTTTTTCTGACAATATGAATCAAAATAAGAAAAAAAATCTCCTGCATGCGTTATTAGAAAAGTCATTAGTTAAAAGATAAACGCGATTTTATATTGCAAACTGTCATATTTACCGCATTTTCCAGAGTCAATAACTGATGAAAATTAGTATTATTGAAAAATTCCGACAAATTTTGATTACTTGAACCTTCGCCCTTCTAATAATATATGTAGATTCAATTTTTCAAACTGCGTTTTCGCTATCATTAACAAACTGCGTTTTCGCTGCGTAAGCAGGCGCACATTCTCAAATATTTTTATTTCTTACAATCATTGCGTGCATGCATGTCTATAGATAAATTTTTATTGTATAAAACATCAACAATTTTATTCATAATAATATTTTCATATTTTTAATTCGAATTAAATTTATTTTTAAATATATTTTCCTTAAAATACGAGCAATATTCACAGCAAACAGTTTGAGCTTGTATACAACGATACCTGTTATTGGCACATATGTTGCAGAAACAGTTTGGAATAAATTCTTCAATGGAAAGTAATAGTTGTTCAATCTTTGCTGGCATCAGCATACCGTTCTCAATTTTGATCTCAAAACTTAGAGGATTTAAAGTTACGGCACCAAAATTCAAACAATTTATTTACATATTAGTTATGTAAAACGCTTTTCGAATATTGCTGTATCGAGACACTTCTTGGTGGTAATTCACTCGGCGCACTTTTTTGCATATAGTGGAAAACATAGCTCCTTAATACATTAAAATTAAGGCCCTTGCTACCTCGACTCCATACTCTGACTAAGAATGATTTTGCCTTGTCAATGCAATCATTGACACATTCATTCGATAATTCTAAATAGAATAATATTTATAAAGATATATCGAGTTTGAAATGAAGAAAATTCATGTTCGACAAATTTATAAGCTTACTGCAACCAAAGCGAAGGTCACCATGTGAACATGCTTGAAATTCACTTTTTTCGTACCAACTTTGCTGATGTAATCAAACCCAGTTAAATAATGAATGGCAACAATACTTCGATTAATGTTAGGGCCAATATTTTCTGCAATTAAGTGAATTGATATACTGTGTATTCTATTCTGAAACGTAAATTATTATGAAATATATTCTTAGCAGTAACAAATTACCTTCAGACCATTATTCAGTGATTTATGTGAAGCATTATTTTAATGTCTGCCTCCTTGATGTCATTGTTGCAAACCATCGAATTTATAATTGCTATTATTGCTTTGTTCAATCGATGTCCATTATTTATTACTAACAGTGCTAAAGATTAAATTTATTTCAGGCCATATGGTATTTGCATTTTTAATAATATAATTGGTGTGATAATAAAATTGTGTAAAAATATTTCTAAATGTTCTTTATTCTTTGTCTAAGACTAACATTTATCTTTTTATTTAGGAAGCTTTGTTTTTTTCTAGTATACTTCAATTTTTTCTATTATTCTTCTATTATACTTCAAATACTTCGATAGTATCTTTTTTATAGCGACTACGTCTTTTATACGATTTTGAAGGGTTTATAAGACGATTGTCGAAAATAAAATGAATTCTCGTACAATACCGTAACGTAAATTGAATTTGACTAAAGAGTAAAGCGACGTAGTAAAATCCTTGAATGCTTTCAAATCA